ACAAGGGAACCCGGACAATAGGTACGAAGATGTCTGGACACTAGGCATCAATGTGTCTGGACACTAGGCATCAGGGTGTCCAGACACTAGACAGCAGGGTGTCCGGATACAAGGCACCAGGATGTTCAGACAATAGGCACCAGGATGTCAGGACACTGGCCACCAGGATGTTCAGAAATAGGCACCAGGATGTTCAGAAATAGGCACCAGGATGTTCAGAAATAGGCACCAGGATGTTCAGACAATAGACACCAGGATGTCAGGACACTGGACACAAGGTTATCCAGACACTAGGTGCACCATGTCCAGACACCAGGCACCAGGGTGTCTGGACACTGTGAACCTATTGTCCAGACACCCTGGTGCCTAGTGTCTGGACACCATTGTCTGGCACCAGAATGGTGCTGGACACTAGGAACCAGTGTCCGGACACTAGGTCCATGATGTCCGTTCACTAAGCACCAGGGTGTCAGGACACTACGCACCAGGATGATACTTTTCAAGATGCTAGTGCTCTCCAGGGTGGAGTACTGCTGCACAATGACAGCCCCATTCAAAGCCAGAGAAATTGCTGACCTGGAGAGCGTGCAGAGATCCTTTACTGCTAGAATCCACTCAGTAAGAACATCTAAACTACTGGGACCGACTAAAGAGCCTAAATCTGTATTCTCTTGAGTGCAGGCGGGAGAGATACATAATAATTTATACATGGAAAATATTAGAGGGGCTGGTCCCAAACCTGCACACAGAAATAACATCACATGAGACCAGGAGGCATGGCAGGATGTGCATAATACCCCCATTGAAAAGCAGAGGTGCAACAGGTACTCTGAGAGAGAACTCTATCAACATCAGAGGCCCGAGACTGTTCAATACACTTCCGCTACACATAAGGGGCATAACTGGCCGACCCCTCACAGTGTTCAAGAAAGAGAACTGGATAAGCACCTCCAAAGGATACCTGATCAACCTGGCAATGATTTATATGTCAGGCTGTGAGCAGCCGTGTCAAACAGCCTGATTGACCAGTCCAGCAACGAGGAGGCCTGGTCAATGACTGGGCCACGGGGACGCTAAGCCCCGGAAACACTTCAAGGTAACTTCAAGGTATGGTGTCCTGACACTAGGCACCAGGGCATCTGGACACTGGGTCCATGATATCTGGACACTGGGTCCATGATATCTGGACACTGGGTCTATGATATCTGGACAATGGGTCCATGATATCTGGACACTAGACATCAGGGTGTCTGAACACTGGCATATCAGGGTGTCCAGACACTAGGCACCAGGGTGTCCGGACACAAGGTCCTTGGAATCTGGATGCTAGGCACCAGGGTGTTTAGACACTAGGCACCAGGCACAGGGCTCATGCCAGCTGAATGGACAGTGCTTCAGATTCGTAGTCCTGAGGTTCCGGGTTCGATCCCCGGTGGAGGCGGAGCCAAATGGGCAAAATATTTTTTTCACCCTGATGCCCCTGTTACCTAGCAGTAAATAGGTACCTGGGAGTTAGACAGCTGCTACGGGCTGCTTCCTTGGAGTGTGTACCAAAAATGAGGCCTGGTCGAGGACCGGGCATTGGGGACGCTAAGTCCTGAAATCATCTCAAGATAACCAGTGTGTCCGGACACTAGGCATGAGGATGTCCAGACACTAGGTACCACTGTGTCCAGACACAATGTCCAAGATATTCGGACACTAGGGACTAGGGTGTCCGGACACTAGGGCCATGATGTCCGGACACTAGGCACCAGGGTGTACTGACACTAGGTCCACTGTATCTGGATACTAGGCACCAGGGTGTCCAGATATTAGGCAACAGGGTATCCGGACACTTGGTCCATAGTGTCCAGACACATTAGGCACCAAGGCGTCCAGACACCAGGTCCATTGTGTCCTGACACTAGGTCATGCTGTACGGACACTAGGTATCAGGGTGCCTGGACACTAGGCACAAGGGTGTCCAGACACTAGGTATCAGGGTGTTTGGACACTAGGCACCAGGGTGTTCGGATACTAGGCACCAGAGTGTCTGGACACTAGGTCCATAGTGTCTGGACACTAGGTCCATAGTGTCTGGACACTAGGTCCATAGTGTCTAGACACTAGGCACCCGGGTACCTGGACACTAGACATGAGGATGTCTGGACGCTGGTCACCAGGGAGTCCAGACACAAGGCTCCCGGGTGTTCGGACAATAGGCACCAGGGTTTCTGGACACTTGGTACATGGTGTTCGGACACCAGGTGCCAGGGTGTCCGGATGCTAGGTATATGGTATCCAGATACTAGGCACTAGGGTGTCTGGACACGAGGTCCATGATGTCCAGACACTAGGCACCAGGGTGACCAGACACTAGGTCCACGGTGTCCGGACAATGCGTACCTATTGTCCGGACACCCTGGTTATCTTGAGGTTATCTTGAGATGATTTTGGGGCTTTTTTTTTTAGTGTCCCCGCGGCCCGGTCCGCGACCAGGCCTCCAACCCCAGGAAGCAGCCCGTGACAGCTGACTAACACCCAGGTACCTATTTTACTGCTAGGTAACATGGGCATAGGGTGAAAAACTCTGCCCATTGTTTCTCGCCGGCGCCTGGGATCGAACCCAGGACCACAGGATCACAAGTCCAGCGTGCTGTCCGCTCGGCCGACCGGCTCCCGGGTGCTTAGTGTCCAGACACCATTGTCCGGCACCAGGGAGTTCGGACACTAGGCTCATGGTATCCGGTCACTAGGCACCAGGGTGTCTGGATACTAGATCCACTGAGTCCTGACACTAGGCATGAGGATGTCTGGACACTAGATCCATGATGTCTGGACACTAGGCACCAGGGTGTCTGAACACTAGGCACAAAGATGTCTGGACACTAGGCACCAGGGTGTCTGAACACTAGGCACAAAGATGTCTGGACACTAGGCACCAGGGTGTACTGACACTAGGTCCCCTGTATCTGGATACTAAGGCACCAGGGTGTCTGGACACTAGGTCCATGGTGTCCAGACACTAGACACCAAGGTGACCAGACACTAGGCACAAGTGTCCAGACACTAGACACGAGGTTGTCTGGCCACTAGGTCCATGGTGTCTGAACACTAGGCACCAGGGTATCTGGACACTAGGCATGAAGATGTCTGGACATTAGGCACCAGGTTGTCTGGCCACTTGGTCTATGGTGTCCTGACACTAGGTACCAGGGTGACCGGACACTAGGCATCAGGGTGTCTGAACACTAAGACCATTATGTCTGGACACTGCACCAGGGTGTCCAGACACTAGGACAAGTGTCCGGACACTTGGCACGAGGGTGTCCTGACACTACGTTCACGGTGTCCAGGCACAAGGGTTTCCTGACACGACGTCCACCGTGTCCGGATACTAGGCACAAGGGTGTCCGAACATTAGGCACCAGGGTGTCCAGACACCCTGATTCACCAGTCCTTGGTGAATTCACTTTCACCAGACCTTGGTGAATCTGATACCTTCGATATCACTTGCGTTATTTGATTTTGTTCTTGTATTGGCATCCTCAATGATACTCAGGACCTTTTAAACATCCCGAGACACTGATGGCGCTATCTGGATTGTACCTGGATGGGGTTCTGGGAGTTCTTCTACTCCCCAAGCCCGGCCCGGGGCCAGGCTTGACTTGTGAGAGCTTGGTCCACCAGGCTGTTGCTTGGAGCAGCCTGTAGACCCACATACCTACCACAGCCCGGTTGGTCCGGCACGTCTTGAAGAATGCTACAGTCTGCCCGGCTTGGTACCTTCTTTTGATAATGACTTACAGGTATGACATATTTCCAGTCTGTTAACCCAGTTTTAATTAAATAAAGTACTCAATTGAATCTAGCCATAAATTTGAGGATAGAGGTAGTTTTCACAGCTTTTTTCAGTGCATTTCACTTTTTTTTTACCTGTACAGGAAATGAGTATTTCCTTATATTATTTTAACTCCTTTACATTTTTAGCTTCCACTTATGTTCTCTTAGCTTACTTTATCTCTATTTAAATAGGCCTTTTTTATTCCCCTCAGTATCTTGTATGTTGAAATCATATCCCCTCTCTTTTGTTCTCTAGGGTTGTGAGGACTAGTTCCACTAGCCTATTGTCATAGCTTAACCCTCTTAGCTCTGGCACCAATGTTGTTGCAAATCCCTGTAATTTTACATTTTTATTTTATGCTTCAAAAGATGCAGATGCCATGTTGGTGCTGCATATTTAAGTATTGATCTAACAAATGTTTTATAGATTGCTTTGAAAGAGTCTTTTATTTAGGTTTTAGAGGAAGTTCTAATGTTTGCTGATGTTACTTTATTAGTGTGTGCCTCTAGTGATAGTGTTGGAATTATATCCACTCCCAAATTGTTCTCTTTCCTATTCCAATAGTTGCCATCCCCTTATGGTGTAAATAACTCTTAGCCTTCTTTCTCCCATTCTCATTTTCATTAACATACACTTGTAGGAATTGAATTCCAGCAACCATTTATTTGCCCACATTTGGAGTTTGTTAGGGTCCTCTGCCTCTGTAACTTCCTGCAGTCCTCCTCTGTTTTTACATTCCTCAAACCAGGTTTCTCTCACCTACAAACATTAACATGAGCGAGTTCACTGCCTCAGGTAGGTTACTCACCTAAATTAGGAGCAGTAGTGATACCAGGACCAAGCCTTGTTGGACCCCCATTTGTTACATTCTTCCAGCTTGAAACCACCTCACTGACTGAGACTCTACTTTGTGTCCTGCTTCTCCATCTTATACACCAGTCTTTTATGAGGAACAGTGTCAAATACTTTTTTGACAATCTAGGAGAATAAAGTCTACCCATCCATTTTCTATCCAACTTATTTTAGTGACCCTGTCACAGAACCCGATCTAGTTTCTCGGGCACAATTTTCCCTTTTAAAACCTATGCTGCCCTTTTGTTACATAGGTGGTACTCTCCAGGTATACCACTTCCTCAATAATCATAATTTAGACTTTTTAAGCAACTAAAACATCTTTAGTACTCTCAGTTTAATTACTGTACACCTTCAAATTTACATTTTCGTGATTTTTGTTTCAAGAAGTCAATGACTAGTTTCTGTGTAAGAAAGTGTGTCTTACTGCTTTCTCTATCAATAACCTCAAACAAGGGTATACTTTCACAAGCCTTTTTTCCTACAACAATAACTAGCGGGTACCCCATTTTGTCTGCATCCACTTGACGTCTTCCAATAGATAGTTTATTTCGGTCATCCACTAAAACATCGTCTTCAAAACCTGGCATAGAGCTGATGACTTGGGCCAAGTGATCCACCCATAGCATGCCACTCTCTTCTTTGCTTCCTTTCTGTCGATAAAAATAATAAAATTAAAGTACTGTACAGTAATGTAGTAATTTATATTTAACTATGGTATAATAAATAAAATAAAAAAATAAATAAAAATAATTAAAAATAAATAAAAATAAATAAAAATAAGCAAATAAAATAAATAAAAATAAGAACATAAGAATAAAGGTAACTGTAGAAGGAATAAAATCCACAAGGGCCATGATGAGGGCTTGAACTTACATCCAGGATGATCCCAGACACGCCTTAATCAACTGAGCTACGACACGGTCAAGAGAATTGCAACCGGGATAGCTACTGCTCTCACATGAATCCAGCAGTCTCTCTGAGACACAAACCAGGGTTTTACACAATTCCCCCATGCACTTGGGCTTTGTTCAACAAGGTGTTCTGTTTGGACAGAGCCCAAGTGCATGGGGGAATTGTGTAAAACCCAACTTTGTGTCTCAGAGAGATTGTGGGATCCATGTGAGAGCAGTAGCAATCCTGGTTGCAATTCTTTTGACCGTGTCGTGGCTCAGTCGATTAAGGTGCATCTGGGATTATCATGGACGTAAGTTCAAACTCTCATCTCGGACCTTGTGGATTTATTCATTTGATATATCACGCTATTGTGATTTCTGTGTCTGAATGCAGAAGGCCTATTGGCCCAAACGAGGCTGCTCCTATTTATAACCACCCAATCGCACTCATATACATGTCCAACCTACGCCTGAAACAATCAAGGGGCCCCCTCCTCCACCACATTACGTGGTAATTGGTTCCACAAATCAACAACCCTTTTACTGAACCAGTATTTACCCAGGTCTTTCCTAAATCTAAACTTATCAAATTTATACCCATTGTTTTGTGTTCTGTCTTGTGTTAATACCATTAATACCCTATTAATATCCCCTTTGTTATATCCATTCATCCACTTGTACACCTCTATCATGTCACTCCTAATTCTTCACCATTCTAAAGAAGTAATTTAAGCTTTGTCAATCTTTTCTCATATGACAGGTTTCTAATTTGGGGGATTAACTTTGTCATCCTACGCTGGACGTATTCTATGGAATTTATATCCATTCTATAGTACAGCGAGGAGAGTTCAGTCCAAAACTAAACTAAAATGGGGCAGAACCAGAGCAAAATAAAGCTGAAGAACAACACCAGGGGTCTTATTACTAACGCTTCGATTAATAGATCCCAGTGTCCTATTTGCATTAATACAAACATTTATGCATTGATTTTCTGGTTTTAAATTCTTATTAATCATAACTCCCAGATTACTTTCACAATCTGACTTCGCAATCTCAACACCATCACCATCTAGCTCGTATTTTGTAACTATCATCATTTCCTAGCCTCAAACCCTTCCATTTGTCAGCATTAAACTGCATCTGCCAATCTTTTGATTATTTTAAAACCTTATTCAGATCCTCTTGAAGAATTGTGAGTCTTTTTCCGTGTTTATTACTCTCCTGAATTTTGTATTGTCGGCAAATTTGCAAATATTGCTGCTCAAACCTGAATCTAAATACAAAAACAAATTATTGAGTATTGGATGTAGGATTACAATGTATGGTATGGTACATATATACTGTATGTATGTATGTACCATACCTACAGTACATACTGTATGTACTGTATTCTTATATTGCACGTAAATCTGTTCCTTGAACAGCTCAAAGGAAATGTCAAGCAATCCATTCCTTTGTTGCTATTCTTTCTGGTAATGTTGCCTAGAAATAGATCACCAAATTGCCTAGCAGGAACACCAAATTGTGATTTGACAATAATCGCCATGCTGGTGGTACAAGATAACCTCATCTATAGTAAGAAATTAAAAACGATAGCAGTCTTTTCATAGGTCTAGAGTGACTGTTATGAACCTCTTGTTGAATTACTTGTGATACAGAAGATTATCGATGTGTATATGTATTCGTGTAAATGAGTGTATATATATATGTACATGTATATATATAACATTGACAATTGTTTAACTAGCTTCAAAAGAATGTCACTTGCTTAGCTAAACGAACTCTGGGGTTCAGTTCCTGAACCCATTATGTGCCCCTGTAACCCTTTCCACCACTGCCCACAGGATGGGCATGGGGTGCATAATAAAGAAATTGAAAATTGGTTAACTCCATTACATCCTTACAAATTTATTAAAACTATTATATAATTTGTATAAAAAATCTATTGGTGATAACTAAAAATTAACATACAGTACGATGATAATTGCATTACCCCAGAGATCAATATATGACGTTTACCATAATTTAAGGGTTAAAACTCAAACAAAAATTATCGCTCCTGATTCATATTTATGCAGCTACTTGAACAGTCTCTGTAGTATAATTATAGGAAAACATCAAAACTTAGTCCTGTATCATTATATATAAAAATGTACAATATGATGGCAGAGTACAGCTACGTATGAATACTGTATGTTTTCATTAACATTTAAGATATTGTTAAAGTTTAATTCAGTATTTAATATTTGCTTAAATATAAACTTACTTTTGGTGTAATTATGCAGATTTTGAATGGAGCAAGGCTCCATGGCCATCTAATACAATCATTCTTGGACAATAGTTCAACAATTGTTGCCAGAATGCGAGACACTCCCAGGCCATAACAGCCCATCTGAAGTAGCTCTGGCTTGCCTTCCACATTATGATAAAAGGCTTTAATTGGTTTAGAATACTTTGTTCCCAAAAGGAAGGTATGTCCGACCTAAAAAAAAAAATACAAAATCAATATATTTGTCAGCTATTTAAGTGCACAAGAAGAAAATTGGTAATGTAATATCACACACACACACACACACACACACACACACACACACACACACACACACACAAGAATGTCTGCGACTACAGGAGAATAGGCAGATATGTAAAAGGGAAAGATCGACCTTTGAGGATCACCCTAAATGGTACCAAACAAATGGAAGAAGTATTAAGGAATGCTAGAAAATTACAAAGTGATGAGGATGGGAAAGTGTGGTCGTTAAGACGAGATCTTTCAAAAGAAGATAGAGAGAAGCTGAAACTGAGCCTCGCCGAGGCAAAACGTTTAAATGAGAGCAGGAATGAAGAAGAAATCAATTCTTTTTTCTACAAAGTGATAGGGGTAGGCAGGCCAGTAAAGTGGTACATAAAGGCAAACCAACAAAATCATTAGAGAAAGGGGGAGTGAAAAATAAGAAGAGGGGAAACAAGTTCCTCAAGATTGCATACACCAACATAGATGGAGTAAGATCAAAGATACTGGAGTTAAGTGATATAATACAGCTGCAGACACCAGACATTGTTGCACTCATGGAGACAAAACTTGAAGATGCTATTTTAAATGAGGTCATATTCCCAAGGGGCTACTCAAATTGGAGACGGGACAGAAAAATCAGGAAAGGCGGTGGCGTTGCTGTGCTGGTGAAAGAACACCTAAAAGTGAACGAAATACTGACTGCCAATCCACAAGAAGTTGACATAATAGCACTAGAGATCTGCCATGAGGATGATAAACTAATGATCATAAATGCATATAGTCCACCGTTAAGCAGCACATGGTCAAAGGAGGAGCTAGATAGTAAACGAGAAGGTCTTATAACAATAATGAGAGAGATCATAGCGAGAGCGGATAACGATAGTTCACGACTGTTAATAGTCGGCGACTTCAACTTGAAATCCATAGACTGGGAAGCATGTGAAGCTAAAACAGAAGATTTCTGGACCTGTAAATTTGTAGACCTCATCCTGGAAACATTCTTGTATCAACATGTTAAACAAGCTACGAGGATGAGGGAAGGGGACGTCCCCTCCATGCTAGATTTGATATTTACCAGGAAGGAGGAAGAAATATTTGACATTCAGTACCTTCCTCCCTTGGGTAAAAGTGACCATGTCTTTTTGGGAATAAAATATGCAATGCGTTATAATCTGGAAGAAAATATGACGGTCGATGCAAATGAAAAACCTGACTTTAGGAGAGGACATTATGGCAACCTTAGAAAATTTTTTAGTGAGTATAATTGGACAGACTTGTTGCTAGGCAAGGAAGTAAATGAGATGTATGTCAAGTTTTGTGAAATATATGATAAAGGCACAAAAAAATTTATACCAAAACAGAGAAGCAGAACTAGGAAACAGGATTGGTTCAACAGAAAGTGCGAGAGGGCCAGAGACCAAAAGACACAAAAATGGAATCAATACAGGAAGAGGCCGAACCCCCAAACATACCAGCGATACAAAGATGCGAGAAACAACTACACGGCAGTGAGGAGAGAGGCAGAAAGAAATTTTGAAAAAGGGATTGCAGACAAATGCAAAACAGAACCAGGTCTGTTCTATAAATTCATAAACAACAAATTGCAGGTAAAGGATAATATTCAGAGGTTGAAAATGGGAAATAGATTCACAGAAAATGAAAAGGAAATGTGTGAAACATGAAACGAAAAGTTCCAAAGTGTGTTTGTACAAAATGAAATCTTCAGGGAACCAGATACAATAAGAATTCCAGAGAACAACATAGAGCACAGAGAGGTGTCCAGAGGCGAAGTGGAAAAAATGCTCAAGGAGCTAAATAAGAACAAAGCAGTTGGTCCAGATGAAGTTTCACCATGGGTTCTGAGAGAATGTGCACCTGAGCTCAGCATTCCTCTTCAACTGATTTTTCAGGCATCCCTGTATACAGGAGTTGTAGCTGATGTGTGGAAAAAGGCTAACATAGTTCCAATCTACAAAAGTGGAAGCAGGGAAGACCCCCTTAATTATAGACCGGTATCATTGACAAGTGTAATTGTCAAAATATTGGAAAAAATAAATAAAACTAAATGGGTAGAACACCTGGAGAGAAATGATATAATATCAGACAGACAATATGGTTTTCGATCTGGAAGATCCTGTGTATCGAATTTACTCAGTTTCTATGATCGAGCAACAGAGATATTACAGGAAAGAGATGGTTGGGTTGACTGCATCTATCTGGACCTAAAAAAGGCTTTCGACAGAGTTCCACATAAGAGGTTGTTCTGGAAACTTGAAAATATTGGAGGAGTGACAGGTACGCTTCTAACATGGATGAAAAATTTTCTGACTGATAGAAAAATGAGGGCTGTGATCAGAGGCAATGTATCGGACTGGAGAAATGTCACAAGTGGAGTACCACAGGGTTCAGTTCTTGCACCAGTGATGTTTATTGTCTACATAAATGATCTACCAGTTGGTATACAGAATTATATGAACATGTTTGCTGATGATGCTAAGATAATAGAAAGGATAAGAAACTTAGATGATTGTCATGCCCTTCAAGAAGACCTGGACAAAATAAGTACATGGAGCGCCACTTGGCAAATGGAATTTAATGTTAATAAATGCCATGTGATGGAATGTGGAATAGGAGAACATAGACCCCACACAACCTATATATTACGTGAGAAATCTTTAAAGAATTCTGATAAAGAAAGAGATCTAGGGGTGGTTCTAGATAGAAAACTATCACCTGAGGACCACATAAAGAATATTGTGCGAGGAGCCTATGCCACGCTTTCTAACTTCAGAATTGCTTTTAAATACATGGATGGCGATATACTAAAGAAATTGTTCACAACTTTTGTTAGGCCAAAGCTAGAATATGCAGCAGTTGTGTGGTGCCCATATCTTAAGAAACACATCAACAAACTGGAAAAGGTGCAAAGACATGCTACTAAGTGGCTCCCAGAACTGAAGGGCAAGAGCTACGAGGAGAGGTTAGAGGCATTAAATATGCCAAAACTAGAAGACAGAAGAAAAAGAGGTGATATGATCACTACATACAAAATAGTAACAGGAATTGATAAAATCGATAGGGAAGATTTCCTGAGACCTGGAACTTTAAGAACAAGAGGTCATAGATTTAAACTAGCTAAATACAGATGCCGAAGAAATATAAGAAAATTCACCTTCGTAAATAGAGTGGTAGACGGTTAGAACAAGTTAAATGAGAAGGTGGTGGAGGCCAAGACCGTCAGTAGTTTCAAAGCGTTATATGACAAAGAGTGCTGGGAAGACGGGACACCACGAGCGTAGCTCTCATCCTGTAACTACACTTAGGTAATTACACACATACACACTCACTCACACACGCACACTCATACTCTCTCTCTCTCTCTCTCTCTCTCTCTCTCTCTCTCTCTCTCTCTCTCTCTCTCTCTCTCTCTACTCTCTCACTCTCTCACTCTCACTCTCTCTCTCTCTCTCACACATTCTCTCTCTCACACATTCTCTCTCTCACACATTCTCTCTCTCACACATTCTCTCTCTCACATATTCTCTCTCACTCACATTCTCTCTCACTCACATTCTCTCTCACTCACATTCTCTCTCACTCACATTCTCTCTCACTCATTCACGTGAACTCTCTCTCATTTACACTCTCTCTCTCTCACTCACACTCTCTCCAGCTCACGCTCTCTCTCTCTCTCTCTCTCTCTCTCTCTCTCTCTCTCTCTCTCTCTCTCTCTCTCTCTCTCTCTCTCTCTCTCTCTCTCTCTCACACTCACACACTCACTCTCTCTCACACTCTCTCTCTCTCACACTCTCTCTCACACTCTCACACACTCACTCTCTCACACACTCACTCTCTCTCTCTCACTCTCTCTCCACTACAACACCCAACACTGCTGCAACTACCAGTACTAGAGACAAAAATTCCAAAAACACATTTTCAATATGAGATAGCACTTAAAAATCAGAACAAAAACAAATACCATTCTAAGCCAATATACTGTAACCTCATTCATCTTTACCAACATACAAATCCCTGTAAAGTCTTTGGAGCATTCACTCCCAGTTGAAATCACGTGCATGTTGTATGTGAACTTGTAACATGAGAAACAAGAGGGAGCACTGGGAAAGGAAATGGTTAGGAATGGGAATTGGAATACCAGAATGGGAAGGGAAATGGGAAAGGTGAAACTTAAAATAAGAAGCTAGGAATGTAATGGATGGAAATGGGACAATGTGAGTTGGAACATAAAACAAGTGTAAAATGCTAATTAACCCTCTAACTGCTCAGCATAAGGGGGCATAATTTGAAAAATATTCAAATTATGTAAAAAACCAGCGTTGAATGTAATGAAATGCCAATTTCTGGGTGAGACCCGGAGGCTCTCCGAAGCTTTACCAGGCTGATATGTTAATGTCAGACTTTGGCATCAGTCATGTGTATGGAGTTCTAGGGCCTACCGGGGACCACGGCCAGAACCTGGCCCCCTCAGAGAGGCAAGGTGAGCAATGGCCTATAGAAACCCCCGTGTGGTTGGAAGCATTCTATGTCTGCCATCGACCGGGTCAAGCATCCAGAAAGGTAAGCATTCCAAAACAAACCCCTATTCTGGTGAAAATTGCTACCTAAAGCCGAACTAGTGGATAAAACTCCTCAACAGAAAACAAGCAAACTAGTATGACGTGGCATGCAAACAACAGCGGAGGGCCGCCACTGAACACAAAACACGACACACCCCCGGCCCGACCAACGAAGCACCAACAAACTCTGGACCCCTCCAGAACGCAGCAGCCCCATCCCGTGCCAGAAAAGATGGAGACTGCTGCCACCTAACAACCAAAACGCTAAAACCGAAGGAGCAAGAAAACTCAGCGACCCGACCCCCAGAGGCAAATGCCAAAAAGAAAAAGAGCCGACGAAAAAACACACCGGAACTGAAAGGGCACTACCAACCGAGAAGAAGACAGAGC